TTATTCTACTGTATAAGCACAACCGCCTTAGATCATTGCAAACAGATTTTCAACCATGCGATACCCGTTATTTCAAAAATTATAAGCAAAATAAAGTCAAACTGCCATAATAATTTATCCAATTTTATTCTACTGTATAAGCACAACCGCCTTAGATCATTGCAAACAGATTTTCAACCATGCGATACCCATTATTTCAAAAATTATAAGCAAAATAAATTACAAACTGCCAAAATAATTTATCCAATGTTATTCTAATGTATAAGCACAACCGCCTTAGATCATTGCAAACAGATTTTCAACCATGCGATACCCGTTATTTCAAAAATTATAAGCAAAATAAAGTACAAACTACCAAAATAATTTATCCAATGTTATTCTACTGTATAAGCACAACCGCCTTAGATCATTGCAAACAGATTTTCAACCATACTCACTTTACTAATCTTTTCAAGATCCTTTCAACTTTAGCCTTTAAAAAATAAAAATTCTATATTTTCTTTCTTTTTTGGCAGGATTTATTTTAAGAATTTTCATTTCAATATTACCATGTTGACCAGTTGTGACTTAATTAATAAATCAAGAAAATATAAACGTACAACATGAAGTGTAGGTTTGACTGATTATTCTTGAATCGAAAGTTTAATTCATTTTAATGATATTTTGAAAATATAAGGGTCCGTTTCGTTTGACATAATCTTTGAAATTTGAAAATGAGATTTTGAGACTCAAAAATTGCTTTTGAATCCATTTGATTAATTTTATAAAAATATTTTTTTATTAGAAGAGTTTTTAAAGAAAGTTTGTTCAATGAAACTTCTTTTAAAAGTACTTTGAAATTAAAAAAAAAAATTTAAAAATTAGTTTTTAAATAAAAAGTAAAGTAATTTTCAATGAAAGCTCTTATACATAAGTAATCCTAAATCAATGTCGCCAAATGAATGATTTTTTACTGTTAGAATCATCATGTTGGATTTCGAAAGTGATGAACAATAAGAAAAAATCAGCTGTGATGTGCCTATAAACATGCAAGTAGGAATTGGGTCCCACGCAGGAAAGATTAATTTTAAAAAGTAATTGAAACATAGATGGCGGTAAAATTAAATCCATGTTTGACGGTCATTTTTTAAGAAGAATAAATTTTTGAAAAATATATGATTAAAACGAATACAAAAAAATGAGTTTTCGAAGAATAGTTGTCAAACAAGGGCCTAAGCTCATTTTCGTTTAGATAAAATCAAATTTTTATTATATATTTTTTTTAAAAAATTGAAGATTTATAATATTTTTATTTTCAACCACAAAAATAATTTACATTTATAATATATTTTTTTTGAAGATTGGTGGTTAAAAAGTAAAAAAAAGAAAAAAAATTGAATTTAAATGTAATTTATTTTTGTGGTTGAAAATAAACCTAAAAAAATATATCTTAAGATAATGGAGTTCAAAGAAAAACTTTTTAACCAAAGAATTTTCAACATTTCATTACCACAGAGCTCATTTTAATGAAATAATGGATATCAAACAAGACCTTATTATTGAAAGACTAAACAGCCCATGCACTTGCTTAAAGAAATACTAGTAAGTAAAGGGTATATCCGTCCCAAAGTATTATGCTTCAAGCACTCAGACCTCTTTTGAGCATCGGCTGGATCCTCGGCCTGGATCCAAAGCCTGGATCTATCCCTGTCTCTTTAGCATTAATTATTGAGCATTTCATTGTACCTCAAATCGGAACCCAATCTCTGTAACTTCAACTGTTGTCTAAACTTGCCAATGAAATCATCAGCTTTTGCATCCCAAGCCTGGTCCTCCGCCCTATTAGAAGACTCAGTTTCCTCTTCCTCTTCCTCTTCCTCTTCCTCTTGCTCTTGCTCTTGCTCTTGCTCCGGCTCCGGCTCCGGCTTAGCCACATACACCTTCTCACTCAACGACTTCTCCAACACCCTTTTCGTCGGAGCTTGCACGCACGTGTCAGATCTGCTCCTAGTCACGGGACTCTCTTCCACACGCTGATGTGTTGGTTCTTCAGGTGGAGGTGAGGCAGTGGTTTGATGGGCGGCGGTGTCAGACTGGTCGGACCGTTCGGAGTTGTAGATAGAGAAGTTAATGGATTTGACTCGTTTTAAGAAAGGTGGAACTCGGATGATTTGCAGTGGCGAGTTGTCTTGGTCATCACTGAGTTTTTGGAGTCTTTTTAGGATTGAAGTGATGAAAATGGTGAAAATGGTGAGGTTCAATACGAAGAAGAGAAGAAAAGTTGGTGTTAAGAAGCTTGCGAAGGAAATCCACATGGTTGTTTTGCGACGTCGTTTTTAGGTATATCTTGGTGGTGCTAAAGAGAGACTGGTGAAAGATGGAGAAATTTTCGGTGTTAAGTCTAATACATATATAGCTAAAAGCGTGCAGATAATAGAATGCAAGTCGGTCCCAAATGAACAAATTGCAAACAGTATATCTATTGTGTTTACAAACACGTACTGTTATGAGATATTATTAAATCTAATAAAAAAATAATTTTATTTTTATTTTTATTTATTATTTTTTTTTAACACTTCATCAATCTGTAAAATCTTCTATAACTCATTATGCATAAGTAACATTATTCATAATATAAAAAATGACGAAAACCATGCTTGGTCGATAGATTACTTATGGTCAATTTTTTAATTAACTTTTATTTTAAATAGGGCAAATTATAAGTTTTGTCAATAATAACATAACTTCATTCTTTTGCTTGTTGGTTTTAAACCCTCAATCTTTCAATAATTAGCAAGATTCGTACTTCTAGACAATTTTCATTATGCCATCTTCAAATTGATTAAAAAATATAGGAGGCAACGATAGACTCAGCTCGCACGAGCCGAGCTTGTGGCCCGTTATGAGTTACTCGAGGGGTGAGCTCGGCTTGGCCCTCGAGCTCGTGGCTCGCGAGCCGAGCCAAGCTTGGGTTCGAAAGCTCATGAATTTATTATTTTTTTTTTCAAATAGATAAAATATAAACTCCCCTCCTTTATCCAAATTTGGGATTGACTACTTAAATTTTGAGTATGCAGAATAGTACTTTTTTGGGAGATTGTATGATTAAAAAAGAAGTTTTTTTTTTTTAATTTATGTATAATATTATTTTATTGAAGAATGTATGATCGAAAAGAAATGAGAGAAAAATGTATTAAAATTTTAATGGGTATCAAAGAAGGGCTAAGATTGTAAAACTTAGTAACTGATTCTTAAGATTTACAAAAGTTTAATTTATTTAAAAATAAACTTATGTATTTAGAAAAAAACTTGCTTATAAATACAAATTCTTAGTTATTACTTCTATAGTCCGGATTAGAATAACTTCTTGGTGCCCAAACTCAAATAACATCTGAATATAATTATATTTATTATTAGAAAAATAATTACTTTTTCGGATACAATTTTATAAAAATTAAATTTTCTTATATTTGTAAAGGGCGAAAGAAGAGATCCGTCCAAATTATTGTGTACCCTACACTTCCAATGGACCAAAGATCATAGAAATCATAAGAACAATGTAAATAAATTTAAAGTGAATCGCTTTCAATACATTCTTTATGAAATTTTTTATTTAAAAAATTAACAATAAGTAACATTTCAATTATAAAGTCTTATCGGAATTTGGAATTATCTATGCTGACTTATTTTGAGGTTAGGTTTATGTCACTAAATAAGAAAATTTTATTTCATTACATCACGAGATACTACAACCACTTTTATATTTAAATTCTTGTTTAGCCCCTGTTTGATTCCAATTACCTGAAAATAAAAATGGGGGAATAGTATTTTAAAAAAAAAAATGAGTGGTTGAAAAGAAAGAAAAAGTTTTCGATTTACGTGTAATATTATTTTATAGAAGATTATGTGGTTGAAAATAGAAGAGAGAAAAATAAAATGTAATGTAATTTAATTTAATGGGGATCAAACAGGGGCTAAATCTCATCATATAAAAAGAATGGTTCACTTTTGAACCTAATTTATTAATTGCATCAATTACATTATTTGATTATTGTGATTATTTTTGGGTTGATGACAACTGCAATTTCTAATTTTCCAACTTCCATTCAGTCCAATCAAATCCTTTTGCTGAGAGAGCCACAAATTGATGCCTCATGACAAGATATTCATAAGGTGGGACAAACGTCACAAACAGATATTTAGACTTGATATTTAGGTAAGAATTTTCTTCTTTTTCAATTCTACCAAGAAACCTGCTATAGTGACAGGGCCAAATGACATGCCGTGTCAACCGGGCCAAGGTGACAACACCTCAACCCTTGATCTGAATCTCATTTTTCTTGTCTGAATGGCAATACCCTTCCACCAATGAACTTGATATTTACCCACAAATTTTAACAATTTTCACTCTTGAAATTTGGACTAACATTCAAGTGATGTGCTCATAATTAATTGTCATTCCCTAGTATTAATATTATAAATTTCCATGAACCTAGAGCTAAATGAAATGTTGAATACGAATTGACCCAATCCACAATATTGGTGAGCTACCAGCGAGTGACACAAGTACTCTCTTCGTTCCAATTATATAGGCTTGTTTCTTTTTTCACATGAATTAAGAAATATTCTTTAATGTCATTAGGAAATTAATTTTTGCCAAGATCTTCCCTAATTTACCTCTATTTAATTTTCAGTATGTAGTAATAAATTATTATTTGAATTAATAAAGAAATTGAATGATTTAATTTGAAAAAAAAAAAAAAGAATTGAGAGTTGTTCCACGTTTTCAAGAAGTGAAAAATATGTGTATTTAGAGGATTTCAAGAAGTTGGTATATTAAGTGGGAAAAATTGAATAAGAGTATATTGCTAAATAAACAAAACAAAATATTTTAAATTAGAAAATAAGCCTATATATTTGGGACAAGAGAAGAATGAAGCTCAGCCTATATAATTAGGATGGAGAAAGTATTACTCCATCTGTTTTATAAATATAGACTTACTTTTGTATGTCTATTGTAAATTATAGATTACTTATCTTATTGAAAATATAATTGATTTCTTAATTTTCTAATATGCCCATAATTAACATACATTGTTGTTAACAAATATGAACTACTTTTATTTAAGCCATAATTTAATGTAAGGGTGTATTAAGAAAAATATAAGTAAATTTTAAATTTTCAACCATATTAATTACATTTTCTTAATTTGTGTAAAAATGAAAACATTAATATCTTTATGGGATAGTTATGTATTATGTATCTAATAACCCCTCCGTTCTATAAATATATGCTTGCTTTCATTTTCACTCCGATTAATAAATTGATATAGTAGGAAATATAAATTTTACTTACATTTTTTTCTAATAGACTTGTACATTAAATAATTGTTTAAATATGAATGATTCATATTTATTGATAACAAAATACATTAAATAGAAATATGTTAAAAATTAAGAAATCAACTATACTCTCAACAAAAGAAAAAAAAAGTTACCTATAATTTGGGACATCTAAAGAAGGAAAGCAAGTCTTTCTTTATGAGCCCCCCGTTAGGCCACCATTTTTTTTTCTAAATTTTAATTTTTTCAACAGTATTTTTTTTTTTTTTAAGAATGTGTGGTTGAAAAAGAATGAAAATTTTCAATTTACGTGTAATATTATTTTATGGAAGATTGTGTGATTGAAAATAAGAGAGAGGGAAAAAATGAAAGAAAATGGGGACCAAATGAGGGTGAGATAGAGAGAATATATCAATTATCATGTATCAAAAACACCTTGTAACATATTTCATATATTGGATTGGACAAGATTAAATATGAAAAGAAAAAGTTAAGACTTTATACATTATTTTCAATAATGGTGTTCTATATTACATACGAAACAAACTATTAGCATTCTAACGTCTTGACGGTTCTTTAAAATGGGATATTACAAACGGCCAAAAAAGAAAAGAAAAATCGCTAGCTCAATCATTTGTTTAGCCTATGCTTTTGGACCCATTAATTGAAAAGAGGAGACTGCAATATATTGTTTTAAACATTTGTTTTCGAGTCCCTCCAATTGGAAATACTTTTGTAATCTTCTAAATGTGCCGAGACAAAATTAGTGAAAATATGCAGAATTAATGAGATATCATATTGAATTTATTCTTCAGCAACTTAATAAAAATAAACATCATCGGAACCTTTTCCTATATTTCTTCTTTTTCTTCAAATTAGTTCAGCTATGAATGTTGAGTCGGATATTTAGTCCCGTTGGAAAATATGGGTAATGGGTCCCCCGTGTGAGGTGACACGATCCGTAAGATTTCAAAAAGGGTCGGGGTGAATGATTTGAATTCTGAATTCAAATTTACAACATTCATAATCTCCTTTTAACTCCCATATAACATCCATTGATGATGATATAAAAAATGTGGACAAAAAGATGGAATGAAAAAAGGTGAAAATTTGAATTGAAATTGACACCAAAATTGGAAAGTCTCTATAACCATACTTTGGCATGAAATCTCACAAAAAATGACACTTAAAAATTGTGGATAATAATTCCCTTCCATTGTGATCGGAATTGGGACATTGGAATATTTAAAAATGCAAATGTTGATGCTTGGAACGTAAGGTAGTTCAACCACACAAAGATCTTGAAATTCATCATTTCAAGTAAGTTTCTTGACTCAAAAATCATGACAAAGTATGTTGCGAATTTCCAACATTCATTTCAGAGCCTTAAGGTTGAATCCTTGTTGTAATACATGCTTAAATATGACATTACATGATACAATTTGTGTTATGAATCTTGTATGTACAGTTTTGAAATCTTATGTGGTATTTAGTGGCATCATTTGATAATTTTCTACCATTTGTTCTTTCATCTTCATGAAGTAAGATTAGTATGTTTAGAAAGGTCTTCTCATAAGCTTTCCAACCATATAAAGAACTCAAATTTTGGACTTAAAACGAAGAAATTATGAGGTTCCGAATTTTAGGCATGAAACTTGATAAAACACTAATGTTCATCACGTGATAACTTTTTATACGTTAAGTCTCATGCTGTCTATTTGGATAATTACATAGATCTTCTCGAGACATTTCCAACGATATGAAGATCATTAATTTTTGCTTAAAATGAGAAAGTTATGCCTTCCTGAAGTTTGGATGAAAATTTGTAATATCAAAAATTTCATTACGTGATAACTTCTTCCATACTATATTTCATGACGCCCATTTGATATTGTTGAATAGATCTTCTCAATTCCTTTTCAACGATATAAAGAACATAAATTTTGGCCTTTGAACGAAAAAGTTATAGCCT